CACCCGAAGACGAAAAAACCCCTATAGTTCCATGTAACTATTCAAACAAATCCTCCAGCAACTTGTTTTAAATTCAACACGATTATGCCGAGGAGGGAACCGGGGTCTGGGTGGGGCAAGGTCGAGGGTTCGGATTTCGGTTCGAGGGCTGCTCCGCTACGCTAAAACAACGTAACTCTAGTATAAATCCCTCTCACATGCGCGGTTTTTGATGGGAATAGTGGTGCGTAGCCCGGTAGCCGAGTGGTAACAGGTGGAGGGGTCGGGCCTGCCCAAATGTGCGAAGATTACTCGAGAAGAAAAATAGAATAAGGATCTCTCTGTCCAGGTGCAGGTGTTCTATTGAATCTGGAATCGCGACCCCATTTTTACAGTCGCATCGTGCATCGAGCCTCCCTCCCCTCCCCCCCACACACACACACTTGGAGACCTTTCTTCGTTTCTGTGGTTCGTAGCTAGGACGAAAGCAGGATCGATTATGAAGTTCCGAAGTTCGGTTGACTTTCTACGTCGTAAATTATTTCTGAGAGCAAATGAGTTTCCTTTTCGAAGACGTCGACCGTGCAGACAATCGGATAGTTCGCTTCGAGAACTGTTAGAATGTATTGCGATGTTTCGGTCTTCTCTTACGTAATACTCCGGTAAAAATAATACTAACAAAGATACTATTTTGATGATTTTTCAATAGATCGTATTCGATACATCAAACGGGTGAGATTGTATCGATATCGATTGGTTCAAAACATAAACATAGCCTCAAAAGTAAATTCAGAAATCTGAGAGAACGGATCTTTTGAAACAGATTTTTTATTCTTTTGAGTACCAATTGCCAGTGCAAAGTGAAATTGTCAGGAAATTTCTCATTTTCAGCTTTTCCAATTAATATCCTCAGAGTTTGGTTTGAGGTTATGTTCTATTGTTTTGAACCAAACGATACATCGAACCGTTATCGAATACGGTCTATATTTGCTATCAGGAGTAGAATATGAAGTCGGAGAGCGTTCCTATCAAAAATATTGACTGGTATTCTTCGAATAAAATTAATATGCAGAGAGAAAAATTGATACGTCACCGTGGAGTCTAGGAATTTTCGAAGCCAGTCATTCAATTGTTTTTGAAAGTTGAAGAAAAAAACTACCAATAACATGCATTGTTTAAAGTTCGTGCGAATCGCAAACAATATTAATTTAACCACATGAGCATTTTTCTTATTAGCAGCACATGTGCAACTTTTTGTAACATGGACATTTTTCTTTTAATTTTAAAAGCAGTAGTTTTGTCGATGTTCTCTCTACGGTAACAGAAAACGTCTTTTGTTTGCAATACACATAAACAAGACACTAAATTTTTTAAAAAAAATCCTTTATCTCGCACAAAAATTTAGCTGCGGTCATGAAATTTTGTCAGGTAACATTTTATCTGGAACAGCGTAATCGCAGCCAGGCCTTTTTTTTCTCGTCCAGCTACCCACACATCTTTCATTCTTGCGATGTTTAGTGTGAAACCGCGTATCTGCATTACAATGTTTCAAAATGTCCGCTCCTATTTGATTTTTTCGAAGGGAAACAAGCCAACTTCACAACTTGAAATGTGTACAGAATATTCTGCTAACAGTAAGAAACACTGGAAAAATGAACACATTGGATCTGAGTCCAGACTCTTAAAAACATCGACAAGAAAAAGTACTCTTGATTCAATCAGAATCAGCTTAAATCAAGAACCAAGCCTCTTAATTTAAGCGGATTTCGTTTTGATTCAGGCAAAAATCCGATTGAATCTATAGTATTTTTTCTTGTCAATGTTTTCAAGAGTCTGGACTCTAGATCCAATGTGTTTTTTTTTCCAGTGGAAAATTCGGAAAGTTTTCATTTAATTAAAAAGTAAAGAAGAAAGGTTTACAGGAAGTCTGCAACGTCGAAAAAAGGGATACTTGATTTCGCTCTTTGCCCATCGAAATACCATCAGAGTTACGATTCTATGTATCGCGGAGCGGACTTTTTTCCAGCCTTATGTCAAGCTGTGAACATAGCGAACCGTAAATCTGGTCAATTCGTGATGGCACCTCGGGTTCTATCCGGATTGAATCAAAGTCGGTCAGAGCGTTTCCCGATAGGATCACTTCATTCAAACGATTCGTCGGAAGCTGGTGCGATCGCGTGCCGTGTTTATAGTAGGAAAATGTGCGTGCGTGCCGCTCGCTGCAACATGCGAAACGCGCCAAGCGTGTCATAGTCACAATGAACTGCGAATTTCTGGATCAGCGACGAGGCTGATAGCGGCCCAGGATCGTGGTTTATCCATTAGTCGAGCGGTCAGCGTTGATTGTTGATCGACGAACGGCATCGTCCATCGTCGCGATGTTGCATCACCGGTGCGGACATTCATCTCATTTCCGGCTGCAATCTTATCGTAATTTACCGCTCGTTTTGACCCAATTACCCCCGGCTCCGAGTTTTAAGGCGCCAGTTATTATTAGCGAAAAATATTCGTTTAGCCGTAACTAGGGATTATTCAACTTGCTGGAATTTTGGTTCGACTTAGATGTGTTTTTACCCAGCCATAATAATGACATAAAATGTACTATATTATACTACGATATAAAATGGCACGGTTTTATCATTTTTATTTATTTTCCACCTCAAGGGCCATTTTATCTAACTCCACCACTTATACTCAGATAAACGATCGCAAGAAAACTGACATTNTGTACTGTAACAGAGAACGTCGTTTTATTGCAATACAAATTTTAAAAAAAAAACCACTAAATTTTTAAAAAATTCCATATCTCAATCAAAAATTTAGCTGCGGTCATGAAATTTTGTCCGGTAACATTTTATCTGGAACAGCGTAATCGCGGCCAGGCCTTTTTTTCTCATCCAGCTATTCACATATCATTCATTTTTGTGGTGTTTATAGATGAGTAAAGTGCAAAACCGCGTATCTGCATTACAGTTTTTCAAAATTTCCGCTCCCATCTGATTTTTTCGAGGGGAAACAAGTCAACTTCATAACTTGAAATGTAGGCAGAATATTTTGCTAATAGTAAGAAAAAATCGGGAAGGTTTTCAATTAATTAAAGAATAAAAAAGAAAGGTTTACAGGAAGTCTGCAACGTCGAAAAAAGGGATACGTGATTTCGCTCTTTGCCCATCGAAATACCATCAAAATACGATTCTATGTATCGCGGAGCGGACTTTTTTCCAGCCTTACGTCAAGCTGTGAACATAGCGAACCGTAAATCTGGTCAATTCGTGATGGCACCTCGGGTTCTATCCGGATTGAATCAAAGTCGGTCAGAGCGTTTCCCGATAGGATCACTTCATTCAAACGATTCGTCGGAAGCTGGTGCGATCGCGTGCCGTGTTTATAGTAGGAAAATGTGCGTGCGTGCCGCTCGCTGCAACATGCGAAACGCGCCAAGCGTGTCATAGTCACAATGAACTGCGAATTTCTGGATCAGCGACGAGGCTGATAGCGGCCCAGGATCGTGGTTTATCCATTAGTCGAGCGGTCAGCGTTGATTGTTGATCGACGAACGGCATCGTCCATCGTCGCGATGTTGCATCACCGGTGCGGACATTCATCTCATTTCCGGCTGCAATCTTATCGTAATTTACCGCTCGTTTTGACCCAATTACCCCCGGCTCCGAGTTTTAAGGCGCCAGTTATTATTAGCGAAAAATATTCGTTTAGCCGTAACTAGGGATTATTCAACTTGCTGGAATTTTGGTTCGACTTAGATGTGTTTTTACCCAGCCATAATAATGACATAAAATGTACTATATTATACTACGATATAAAATGGCACGGTTTTATCATTTTTATTTATTTTCCACCTCAAGGGCCATTTTATCTAACTCCACCACTTATACTCAGATAAACGATCGCAAGAAAACTGACATTGTCTTGCAGGTATTCACTCTCTTGATCATGTTCAGGACCGAAGTAAAGCATTATTATTACCGAGGTCTAGCTGCAGATAGTGAAGTCAGAACGCAGAGGCTAACAAACGACTTGGAACTCCAGAGAGCTAAAAGCCCCTGGAAATGAACCGGTAGACCACACTCGAGGCATCTACCTTCGCCTCATAATTACAAGCAGTTTCACTTCGTTTTAAAGATGCGATCTCCAGTATAAAATCTTTGAGTATACTCGAATCCCCTTTCGAATTTTTAGTCCCTAGATTTTTTAGAATTTCGGAATATTGCAGAAATGTATTTGAATTTCTTGAACATCACATCATTTACGACTGTTTTGCTCACCACCCTCCAGAGGATAGGCTTTTTCTCCCCTCCCTAAGTATTGCAACCTCTTAAATACATAATCAAAATCGTCGTCCGTGCGTCATATTTTGTCACGTTAATTGACATAAACGTTTTGATTTTTGACCATCCTTGAAAATACTTGAGATTTAATTCAGAAGTCTATCCATGTCTGCCTCAATCCCATCGTTCTACCCTCTCTAACCAGAAGCGGATCCAGCAATTTGGCAACACTGGAGATCCTCCATTTAAACCTATGTTAAATAATCGATTCTTGTCGGAGCTCCTGGCTCTTCCAAAAATCGATACATTTTCACAGGTTTAATGGGAAAAAAATGTTGCCAATTTGCTGGATCCGCCAATGTCTCGAACACTGGAAGAAAAAGTAGCTTGGACCTAGAGTCCAGACTCTTGAAAACATTGACAAGAAAAGATATTCTTGATTCAATCGGATTTTTGCTTAAATCAAGAGCCAGGCCTCTTAATTCAAGCGTATTTCCTTTTGATTCAAGCAAAAATCCGATTGAATCAAGAGTAATTTTTCTTGTCAATGTTTTCAAGAGTCTGGACTCTCGATCGAAGCTACTTTTTTTCCAGTGAAGTGGGAGCCCTCCACGCATTCTCCCGGGAGGAGCCCAATCCAATACCTTCTTCGGCAACCTTTCCTCTGCCATTCTCTGTCTAAAACTGCTATTTAAAAAGCCGCTCCTAACAAACCCGAATTTCCTTTTGTTTCAGACGACGACTTGACCGGTTTCGAAGCGCGGCTGTTGGCACTGCCAGACCTGGTGCAGAGCGCGATGATGTCCAACTACCCTCCTGCGGCCACAGCGACGGCTCACTCCCCCTGGTCGGCGATCGGAGCCCGCGACGACGCCGCCGACGAAACAACGAATGGATCTCGACACTGCCGGCACCGCCACTGCCACACGCCAAAGCGGGTTGATCTCACGGTGGCCACGGTGGCGAGGGTGGACGCGGGAGGGGGTGGCCACCTCCACCTCCGTCCACCCGCACCCCCGCCGAGGCCACCCCCGGGGTCGCAGTCGGGGCCGGAACCACTGCCCCGACGACTCGGACCCGGATCGGCGACGACCAAGTTCCCGAGCAAAGACGCCGACTCGCCCTCGTCCGGACCAGCCCCCGGAAAACCGCACACCCGCCATAAAAGGTGGACCCAGGTCGGAGAGGAGCTCCGGGGCATTGCGGAGGATTTTCGCTCCAACCTGAGCGTGGTGAGTCAAGTTCAACAGCTTCTCGTCTTTTTGGCGAAAAATGTCGGTGGTTAATTCTGCTATGCTAAGGAAGAACGCCGTGTGAACATTCAGGATTTGCCAAATCTCCTTCGATAAAATGTTTATTTTGGAGAAAATTATGAAATTTTTTTCCTTGAAATTTTCAGAAGTTTTCGATTAAATTACAAACGAAATTATCTGAAAAATTGGTAGGCAAATATTTAACAATTTTCCCAAAAATTAGCGATTTTCCAGGGGAAATCTGGCAACGCCTGAAGTCCTAAAGCCAAAGTTTTTCCTTAGCACGGCAGAATTGGGCTAAAGTAGCTGTATAGAGAGAGCACGGACGTGTTCATATTTTTGAGGTTAAGTCCTGGAGATTTTAGAGCATATAAGGACAGCAAACCTATGAATTCAAATTATCCAGAATTAGAAATCTGAAATCGCAATTTTTTTCTCCTTTTTCTGAAGGTCATTTTCTAATAATGTACTATGTCAAGATGCCAAATTTAGTCGCCTACTTGAAAAAAATTGATTTAAAAAGGATCAAATTGCTGGATACACGTCGTGATGATTGCAATGCTGCATGCATGCACGCTATGGTAGATCGGAACTCACATGTCATATACACACAATATTAATTCCAGCGTTAGTATCAACAGACGCTTTAAGTACGGATGGAAAGCATGTAACTTATAAAATTTTAAGGCTTGTTTTCTAGTTTTACTTTGCTTTAATGACTCCAGTGAGACCAGAAAATTAGCCGGTAGGTTAAAAAATAAGTTAAGTCTGGAGGTAATGAGCAAGAAGGTAACCCTGCCAACTGCACATAAAGTAATTCATTTATTTATGTGCTAGAATTATTTTCCGTTCCCTCGTCGTAGTTTTTCAGGATTTCCAATGCAAAGTCTATGAAAATATTGGATGTGTTGTGGAATCCTCTCCAACAATAAAGTGCTATTTTCTATACCTTTTCATACTTTTCTAGCCCAGACTCAACCTCTCACTTTGAGAAAAACTAAAGCACTATGCAGAATAATTTTTGATCACATCATGTTCTGTAAAAAAAATCGTTCCCTCGCACGAAATGAGCTCGTATCCGACCGTGCAAGGTGCTCTCGTCGAATTGCGGCTCGCGTTAGTAGCGCCTTCAATAAGGCGTGTATGCAGTCAGTCATTGGCGTGCAAGTTGTGTTGAGAGGGGGGGTCGGGGACTTTTCGCTCACCCTGTACAAAATACTTCCCTTGGAATTATCAAGCATAAGCATAGTTCTTAACTATCTCGAGTTGTTTGTAGAGAAATTCACCCATTCCCTCGTTTTCAGTAAGTTGTCATTAAAACTTTTCTTTGCCCGACGCGTAATAGGCATTTAGTTCATCAATAGCTCGGAGACTTTAACGCAAGGTTAGAAAAGTAAGCGATACGTTCCGAAGAGAGGGGCGTTATTGCGAGATACAACCTTTTGAGAAATGATGGGAGAGGAAAGAGAACGAGTGAATCAACACAATGATCAATAGTAATCACTTAAATTTAGAAGAACTTTGTACTTTCCATCTTTTTATCGATTTTGAAATTCAATCTGTGCGATGATCGCCGGACGAATCAGGTCATCCCGTTGTGTTTATCAGTCACAGGATCACTGAGGCCTCAATGTAGTCAGTGAGAGACATTCTCTCCCACCAATCAAAAATGAGGAGTTCATGTGACTTTTTCAGGGTGAGGGGGAGGGGGGCTGTTTATTTTTCTGGCTTGCGCATTGTATGATTATGTGCCTCCTCGTAAGTGAGGGATCTTTAGATTCCCTCAACTAATCGCCAGAGGGGAACTTAACTTTTTGTTTTTCTTTTTGTAACAATAGTTATTATTTACATAAATTTACACGTTAATGTGTTTTTATTTTCAGAGATCCTCGCGACATTTGCCGATGGAGCTGAAGGCGTCACATCTTTTCTCTCTTCTCATTCCTGCCACCATGGGACCAGTTTGGACCACCGTCATTTTGTTGATCTTCCCCGTCATAATTTTGAGCTCAAAAAATAATAGATAAGATGGAGTGCAAGTGTGACTTTTCGTAATGCATTTATTTTCAAACTATAATTTCAAAGAGGAAATGACTGGAAATCAAAAATTAATGAGTTAACAAATTGATAGTAATTGTATGACCTTTTGTTTTTGTTGCAAGGTTATTGCTTGTAATTATTTTTATTTTACCGTAAATATTTTAAGTGTGTCTTTATTGATAATGTTGAGTTCTCTGTAAATTATTTTCTGTTCTGTATACATAAATGTGTATAAATTTTTATTTTATTTTATCTTATTTAAAGATGTAAATTATAAATGCTTATGTTGACCTCTTCTGATGTGTAAATAAGAGCAAGGATTTGAACGATAAACCACACCTTTAGTAAACTCACTTTTGACTGCTTTCAAAAATTAAACGTGAACCACTTTAAACTTCTGAATGTTTCCAGTAGTCTCTATCAGCAGTTTCTATGTGTTGGAAAAAATTTAGAAAACCAAATCAAATATTCTTTAAAAACAAAAAATTAAAAAGATAACTTAGAGAATTTCAAATATATCAGTCCATTTTTCCTTTAAATCAAGCAAAATATTTCCAGCAAATTTCAAGGAAGATTTTTTAACTTCCACACATCCAATTGATATTAGCTTTCTCTCAATTTGAGGCGATATACCTTCTACTGCCAAAATGAGAGGTTTTCATGCAGTCTATCGTTCAAATCTCAACTCTACTTACTCTTTAATTTCTTCTTAAACTTTCCTTTTTGTAACATTACATTTTTCTCTTCAAATCTCCTGCTTTGTGGGAAATATACTGGCTCCATCATGATCTCTTACGTATTTAAAATCTTGGTGCTGGACGAGCAAACTGTCGCATCATGGTTCCTGTAAATAGTAATTTTTAAGTTCAAATCCCTATATTTTTCCTTCTTTTCCTTTCTGGCTTCAGCTTATTTCTTTTGCTTCAGAATTCTAGGGGTTCTCAAACTATTTTCTTCCTCTGAAAAAATGTTCATTTAGACTTACATATTAAAGTTTTTAAAACTTCCTCAGGTTCCTATCGCTGAAAATGTCGGATGGACTCACGAATTTCAAGCTGAAAATTATGATAGTCGACAACCCACTTATATCAATAGTATCCCAACAAAAAAATGAAAAATAAAAAACCTGAGTAACACACAGAGATGGTAAAACTACCAAACCACGTTTCTCGGTTTGCAACGTTGCAGACTTCCTGTCTTACTTTTTTTAAAGGGAGCACCACTTAATGCGAATTCTCAAGAACTTCCGTGAATCTCCTCCCTGTACGAAGAAGATTCTGAAAAAAACTTCAAGGAACGAGATACGTGGTTTGAGAGTTTTATATCAATAGAGAAAAGGAAACATTATGAAATCCCTCAGTTTATTAATAGCCTCCTTCGCAAAACGATATTCACTTCTAAACTCTCTCTCGGAGATTTACCTTTAAAATATAAATATTGTTTATAACTTTCCCTTTTATTTCTCTCTTTATTTTTGTAAGAACTTGTTGCATTTTTATTCTAATTTTACATACTGTTATGCGTGTCTCAATAAATTTGTAGGCATAATTATTTCATAGCAAATGTGTAAATATTTGAATTTGTGTTTTTATCTATTAGGAAGCTCAAAGTGTGTGTGCATTTTCTGTATTTTTTCTTCTTTTTTTTCTTAAAATCTAAAAGTTGTTTTACTATAGTGAAATTCTTGTCTGATTGTAAATTCTGTAGGGTTTTACACGTATCTTTGTAATTTTTGCAGTTGAACAATATTGTATAATGTCTAGGGAATCAAGATCTTTTTAGATCGGAATGTTGTTTTCCGCACTAATACTTGAATTTTTCCATTTCAATGTCTTCATCATACATTTTATATATTTCATGGATTTTTGTAAATAGGCGGATGTATTTCGAACTTGCTGAGTGTCAATTGTTGTTTTAACTGTACAAAAATTCATTGACGTCGTTAATAGAGTAACAGTTGCTTCACAAAAAAAGGTCCAAAATTGCCTTAGATTATTCATGTAGGCCCCTTACTTATTTTTTAAAAACAAGTGATGATAGGATATTCTAAACAAATTTGAAGAAGTGCCTTAATTTAGGTCAGTACATTTTGGATTCAGCTATCTCTACTCACCACCATCCACCCAACCAGGCAAGATTCCTTCATCGAAGCACTTCTGTGATGTTACCAAAATTTAGGTAAAATCAATCTTTTTGTAATTGATCTCATGGTTATTGTAAATTAATTTTTGTTTTCCAGAAATTACTTAATCAAATTATATATTTTGTATCTAAAAATGTGACATAGCTTGATTCATATTTGAAAGCACTGAGAAGGATAATTTTTGTTCTCATTTTCTTGAATTCATCTCCGTTTTCTATTTTTTTATGGTTTGATAAGTGAGTGTACTTATATTCACTCGACCCGTGAATTGAGAAGAGTTCAGTTTTCAAATTTCGTCATGAACCGTTCATCAATGCTCCACTTTTGAGTTATTTTAATTTAATCTTTTCTGCTATCACACCCAAGCTGCTGTTTAAAATTACATGTTATGTCATTGATGAGTGACTGTCCCTTAAAATTGTGAGTAAACTCTCTCACTGATGTGACTTGTGGACTCACTCTTGTCAGCCATACTGCGATGCAAGGACATGTTTAGTAATCTATGGCGTGATGCAAAATCTGTCGAACCAGATGATCTTTATGGCCTTTGGATCATAGATTTTGATATACTTTGAGATTTCAAGATTCCGAGTCGCAATCATTAACGATTTAACGTTCACCAGGGATGCACGGGTGAAATGAAAAATATGAAATATTGAAAATTTCCGTGAAATATCTCATGAAATTTTACAAAGTTGTGAGAAATATGAAACATATTTACAGGGGCTGGGTATGCAACATGCACTAAAAACACCAAAAGGCAAAAATCAATCGCCTTTCTTTTGCTTTTGAATGTAATTCCGAAAATGTGATTCAATATTTTTTATATTTTTCTGAAATTGTATCAAATATTTCACACGAAATTTCAAGATTTTATTTTTCATGAAAAATTGCAACCCTGACGTTCACACTAAAACTTCACGGAAGGAGAATAATCACCATCCAAACGGTTACTAAAGACAGTGGTGATTCTAGCAAATTGGCAACACTGTTAATACTCCATTAAAATCCATTAAAAATATCGATTTTGAATCGAATTATAATCGAAATATCGAAATAATCGATTTGTTTACACATACTTAAATTTATTAAGACAAAATCGCCACTGGCTAAAGAATCCGAGACCACGGATCTTCGAACTTCTCAGCTTTCTTACCTCTCATGTAAATAAGATGAGTATATTTTAAGATTATCGAACGATGTTTGATGCCTAGTCATAATAGTCAGTTAGATTAATTTTATTTTTTCTGTCTCATCCACAATCTCCATCCTGGAAAAGGAAATATCTAAAAAATACCGTATGTATTTTTATTATGCTCTTTATCATGTGTATAATCTGAAATATGTTGACACCAATAACTGGTCTACCTAATCATTCCGTTGTGAGAGTACATACTAGAAAGATACGATTTGCCGCGATATTTGTAACAGTAATGCATTTATGGTAATGTAAGTTGTGTTGCATTTACGCTAATGTTAGTTGTGTTGCATTTATGCTAATCTATAAGTTGTGATTTTTGTGGGTAGAAATCCCTGATGAGGCTAACTGTAAAACGTAATCTTTCTTGCGGAGTTTTTGGCACATAAATTAGTCCTCTTATTCTAAAATGTTTCCTCGAGATTATGTTTCTTAGCATTTCCGATTTTTTCTAACATTAGTTATCTCGTAAGCACCCAAGTTTTCTATTTTCGCAGTCGACGAATTTTTTTTAGGCTATGAAAGTCACAAAGAATGATCTCCTTTAATGGGTATTTTAGTAACATGTATCCGGCAGTGCCCGAATATTTATAATTTCCTTGAACACACCTCGGAGGGTAAATTGAATTTAAATTTTTGATGCACCGATTCTTGAAAGTTTGTGTCAGAGAGAAGAAATAGAATAAAGTTAAAATAAAGTCCAAAGAAAAAAGCCCTCCATAGGTGCCATGTTCTTTTCCTTCATCGACCCCGAAAAAAATCGAAAATGTAAGAATTTTCCTTCACAAACTCCATATCTTATACTTGATGATTAGGTAGCCAAAGAGATTATACTCTAGGTTATTCTGAAATATTTTTCATTTTCTTATAAAATTTCATGTTATAATAGTTTAGTTTTGGTAAATTAGTGATTACTCGAAGGTGAAGCCGAGTCTCTCGTAGATGTGCTTCTTGGTTAATCTTCGATGAATTGCTGGCTCATTCCCAAAAGTCTTTCTGGTTTTGTACAAAGTTTTGTGTTTTTTTGTAATTTTTTTTATCATTTTTTCAACCATTTTCTTTTCTTTTTCTTTTCTCCCTTTATTCTGTGAAATAAATTTTTTTTCTTAATTTCGTAAACTGCCTACTATTTTATTCAATTCAAAACATTTTTCAATCAACCGAAGAACAATATTTTACCTGAGCAAGAAACGAATCATAAAAATTTAGATTCATCACATCTTTATGCGCTAAACAGTTTCTTTTTGGGAGGGAAAGGGGTAACAAGTACCACGATGATCACTAAATCAGCATGTGTTTCTTTGCGACTTTTTCAGCGAATTTACGTTTCAATGTTATTTAATGTTCTGCAGAGAAAAAAGATACGATGAATTCTCTTAATGAATATGAAATGAATAATGAAATAATAATGAAAAATCTATATGAATATGATTCTTAATGAAATACGATTCTCTTAATGAATGGTTTTCGTTCTTTCAAAAGTAGAACTAGGATGTATCTGCGAATGATTTCACTATCAATGCAGGTAATTTGAGATACCAAGGATCAAAAAGTAAAATCTCCATCGCGCTGTCTAAAAGTTTGGCAATCATTTTATTTCATTAGAAATATAGCAAGTGAATTTCTATATTTGCACTTTCTCAAGAATTTTCTATATGTTAGCAAAAAACTTGTGACGGTATTTCGTATTTCACGCATGAAGTCCTATTGCTGATTACTCGTCTTTGAAAATTAAAAATCTGCCACATTTCTAGACATCAGAATGGACATTTCTGCTGATCGACTCTTCAGTTAATGTAAACGTCCATCCATCTGGTTCTTCTTTGATAAATACTATTAAACTAGTCCGTATTATTACAGTTGATCGCTGGTTTCTATCAATCTTAATTTAGCCAAATCAGACCAGTATTTTTTTAATAAAATGAATGAGACAATGTATACAGTACGAAAAATTGATTTGAAAAAATGAACAATTGTTCATGAGTCATTTAGAT